GATCGTCTTGATTTTTATCCCATCCACCATCTACAAATTTTCCAGTGGCGGCGCCTTTATTCTTATTTCCTTCGTCAGACCCATTATTAATATCTGTTGTATTTTGATTTCTGTTATTACCTTGACCTTTTCGGGGTTCTCTACCAGTATCAATCAGTGACGTAGATTGCCAATTTGAAGCAAGAATCGCACCAGAGCCTGCCGTGAGGGCAATGCTCTTAAAAGCGTCCATTACATCCTCAATGGGATTCGGTCTTTGACCTTGTTGCCTTGAGCCGCCTGCTTGCTGAAAATTTTCGTTCAACTCACTCCTACTGCCTCCTTGATTATTATGGTTGCTCATCACAGCTTTCTTTTTCCGTTTAGAACCTTTAGAACCTAAAGTCGATAGATATGTTTTGTGTGATTTATATTGTTTTAAATTTTTTTTTCGCATTGTATCGATTTATAGTAACTGTGGACACGTGTTCTTTAGATATGTTGTGTAAATTGTGATAACAATTACCCAAAGATCTAAAGGATCAACCTTTCATTATCCGGTTTTTCCGTACCAACCATTTTTGAATAGTGATATTCAGTAGTGATAATTACTTTTTAGTATAATGCATTATATAGTTCAACATTGAATCTTATTAGTGTCCTCCAAAAATGATATCCTCCACCAATGAAATCGCTGGATTCGTAAATAAGATCCCAGTTGCAGTTAAAGTTGTTAATGGCGTAGTGTACTCAGGAGCCACTCCGTAGGGTTGTTAATGGAACATACTTTCGATATGAACCCTAGATTTGGGCAACCTGGAGTAGAGTCTGGCGCATGTCTAATTTAACGGAATAGGTTGAAGATTGGATCAATCCAGCCCAACCCATTAACAACCCCATCACTCCATGGGTTTAAATATGACTATAAATTTTGATTAACCTGGAGCAGATCCAGAGCTGAACCTGAATTTTAATGGTGTAGGTTGAAGATTGGATCAACCCGTGATAAATAACTGTCGCGTCACTAAGATCACTAAGCTAATGCGTACTATTTAACAGTTATTAAAATGGGTTATTAAATAGATATTGATATATGAACTCTATTTATCAAGATTTCATCGATTTAATTTAATTGCGTAAGTATTCAAAAAATGTTTATGTCACATTATTTTAGGAATATTCGGTAATATTCGGTGATGTGATATTTTCAAATAAATGGGTATGATCAACCAGCCCTTTTGGTTTTTTTTTT